CGGGCCCAGAACCAGAGACCACGCGCTGGACGCATCAACACAAGCTGGCAGCCTCTCAGCATTGGCCACGGAGGCCTGGCCAACATTTGGCGAAGGAAGGGGTCATCGGCCCACTCTTTCCGTAAAGGGCCAGATGGTAAATATTTTAGACTTTGAGGGCCATATGGTCTCCATCACATCTACTTAACTCCGCCGTGTAGCAGGCGAGCAGCCACAGACGACACCTAAACAAATCCGCGCGGCCAATGAAACTCGATCCACTGCAACTGGCCGAGGACCTGGGCCCACTAAGTGTCCCACGCGCTGGCAGGGTCTGTGATGGCCACACTGAATCCCGGCCCCAGCTACCCGAGAAGCCCAGCCAGCCACTACACAGACCAGCTGGGCGGTGTCAGTCCTGCCAGATTAGGGCTCTCGTTGTAACTCATGTTCCAGGCAACCCGCAGACACAGATGCACACAGCTCCGGCTTCCCTCCCCGCCCGCCTGCAGAGGAAGCAGAGCTTAAAGAGAAAACGGCCAGACACGGAATTCCAATCACTCGCATCCCAGGCACCCAGTGCCCCCAAAGAGTCCGAGTTGATGTTTAGCCCCAGGCCCAGAGCAGGCTGCCCGGGAAGGGCAGGAAAACTGGGCCCTCCCTGACCTTCCAGCTGGCGGCCTCGCGTTTAAGACAATCCCGTGGGATGACGTGATTGATGAATCGATGAATAGAACGCAGATTCGACTGACATACTCCAGTTGGAGGAGAAAGGGACTTTTAGGAATCACAGTTGGAACGGGGTGTGAGCGAGGGTCCCGCACGCCGCACGCCTCTGCCTCGGGTGGTGTGAGCATCTCGCCGTGAGGACGATGACTGGCGTTTAACAATACGTCTTCCATGTACAGCGTGGTCCCTAAACACCCGCCAACGACTTAATTGCCAAAGAAGCAGCCATCTGTCCCTGCACCGGAGGGAAAAGCTGGCTGCGTCAGACCAGCTACCGAGAGCCTCCAACTTCTTGTCACTCTTCAAATGCGGGGTTTTCTTAAAGGATTTTTCAAGGATGAACCAGAAATGTGGAGATTGTACCTTGCAGCTCAGACTTGAAACAGAACTGCTTTTCTCTTAAAGAATCGTCTGTCGGAGGTGCTTTAAATGGCCAGAGATTTAACTATGCAGCGCCTCTGACCTAATAATTCCTCCTTCAGGAATGCATGCAAACAAAATAGCCCTAATATGCACATGAATGCTGATGCACGAAGGTCGTCACCAGGGCGCTATTTATAATTTTGAAGAATTGGAAAAAGCCAAAGCGTCCAATGACTGGGATTAAGTAAATGTGTCCGTTTACTCAGTAAAATATTGTTAAGGCTATCTACCAAGTATTTTTACTTTTTATTATTTTTTAAAATATATTTTTATTGATTTCAGAGAGAAAGGAAGAGGGAGAGAGAGATAGAAACATCAATGATGAGAGAGAATCACTGATCGGCTGCCTCCTGCACGCCCCCCAATGGGGATCGAGCCCGCAATCTGGGCATGTGCCCTTGACCGGAATCGAACCAGGACCCTTCAGTCCACAGACCGACACTCTATCCACTGAGCTAGGGCTCTACCAAGTATTTTTAATTATACAGGGGAAAAAAATCACACTATAAGGGTAGGTGTGTGTGGGGTTTTTTTTAAAGTAACACTAATTGCAAAGCATGTAAAAAAAATATATATACTGAACGAAAATAACACCAAAGCATTAGCGTGGTTCCCTCTGGGTGGTGAGGTGGTCTCTTTCCCAAATGCTGAGCTGGCCTCGTGCTACTTATCACTCAGGTAAGAAAGGAGGGAGCGACAGAGGAAAGAATTGAGGAGAAAGAGAAGAGGCATTTCTTCCGATGTGGATCTATGCTCAATACCTACTTGTATGTATCCTGAACAACGTGCAGATAGTTCAGTTAGCCGGTGTCGATGACCATGACCCTTCCAAAAGGTTAAAGGGTGGGCGGCTCCATGGGGGCCCTGGCGCCGACGAGGAAAGGGTGCTGGGTCCTGGGGGCTGGGGAACCAGGGCGGAGCCCAGCTCTCGTCCCTGGCTGTGTGGCCCCAGGAACCCCCCTGACTGACGTGGTCTCTTCTGCCTCGTCTGAGAAACAGTAGGAACACACGCCTGGAGTCGCTCACAAAACACACACCAGATTCTTAAAACCGCCAGGAAAGTAGGCTGGGCCGCATTTGCCATGTTGCAGAAGATGAGCCTGAGGCTCGGGGATGTGCGGCTGCTTGTCCCCTCCCCCTGAAAGTTGGGGGGGAGCAGAGGCAGAGTCCAGAGCCCAGGGTCCCAGCCCAGGGCCCATGGGGAACAGCCTTGGGCTCAGGCTGGACTCCGGGCCCCAAGCCACCCCAGGACTGGTCCTGAGCCACCCCTGGGACGCTAAGCCGAGGTGCTCTCTGCTCCGGGTGCTTTGCCGAAGGAAGATGGGACGCAGGGAATGGTTACCTTGATAGGAAGGCATGATGCTGGGTGATGGCCTCGCAGTCATAGGTGGAGGAATCGCTCTGTTTCCGTGGCAACGGCCTCTTGGGTTCCTCGTCCTCCAACACGCTGGAGATGTCAATGCTGCTTTTGCTGAGCCGCTTGCTGCCGGCCAGACTGCACTCCTCCTCCACCCCCGGGGTGTCCTGTGGGACCGAGGAGAGGGCAGGAGGGCACTGCAGTCACTGGGGACTCTGGGGCCCTGCCTCCTCCCCAGCCACAAGGAACCCCTTTCTCCTAGACGTGAGAGGCAGCGCATCTTCCAAAAGAAGCATGAAAGCCGCCATCCAGTCGTGGTGGGATTTTAGTCACAGGGCTGTCTCCTGCCCCCAAAGGGATTGGCGAGTTAGTGGGACTCGGGGCAGCTACCTGGGGACCCGACCCGAAATTAGCCCCCCGGGGCCTCCGTTTCCTCCCCTGTGGTAGTAATCGCTTGCTACTCCTGTGAGATTGAGATACAATATATACTTTGTGACCTGGATTTCGTGGTGCATGTGTCAAGGGTTAACAGTCCTGCCCTCAGAGAGGCCCCTGCTCCCCAGGACAGACCCCTCCACCATGCCCACCCCCTGGCCCGCACCTGGGTGCTGCTGATGCTCCCCTTCCGGCTGCTGCTGCCAGGGCTGTCGCCCGAGGGCCCCGCACTGTAGCAGATGGCATCAAAGGCCAGGAGGCCCCCCACACAGTCCCCGATGAGACACACCTGCAGAAGGCACAGCTGGGACCACAGGCCTGGCCACTGCCGACCCCTCACCCCACACCCACCCAGAGCACCTGGATAACAAGGAGCCTGTCCCAGGGAGGCCTGAGACCTGCAATAGGGGGAGGGGTGCTCATTCTGGGGCCAGGGTCAGGGGAGGACAGGACCAGGCTGGGGTGCGGGGTCAGACTGAGGCCAGGGTCAGCTGAGGACAGGACCAGGCTAGGGTGCAGGGTCAGACTGGGGCCAGGGTCAGGCTGAGGCCAGGGCTCAGGCATGGGCCAGGGCTCAGCATGGGCTCACAGTCAGAACTCAGATGTTGGCCTCACTCTTTCTATCTGTAAAATGGGGTCAAACCCAAAGATCTTAAAAGCCTTCTTGGATCTCAGACACCATGGCTCCTGAACAGCCTGGTCTAGATCCTTGGGGCAGATTCAAGCCTCTTTCCAGGTGGGGCCAAGGCAGGGAGGTGGGCGCAGCTGTCCTACCTGCCCACTGAAGCCGATGCCGTCCGGGGACTTGAGGAACTCTGCGTAGACCTGGTTGGCTTGCTCGATGACGGTGGCAACCGCATCCTGGTACTGTGGGGAGGAGATGGCCAACAGGGGCAGCACGGCCAGAGGGACGTGGTCCTGGCTGTTGCTGAGACAGCCCTCATCGTGGCTGTAGGGATTGAGGCTGCAGACAGGGGGCCAAGGTGAGCCCAGCCAGCATCAGGCAGGGGGCGGGTGAGGGGCTGCGGACTGGGCAGAAGAGAGCACGTGCTGACCGGGAACTGGCCCTCCACTCCAGGGTCCCCTGCGCCTGCCCCGTAGCAGCCCGTGATGTGGGCCCTGGCGTCTCCTGTGACAGCAGCTCTCTCCTGCCCTGTTCTGCATGGCACCAAAGAACCCCCAATCATGAAAGAAGCCACTGGTGCGGATCTGGGTGGGGACTGTCATCCTGGCAGACTTCCTAGAGGAGGTGGGGTTTGAACTAGGTCTCATGGAAGGCTTTCGGGGACTTCGAAAGGAAGAGAGAGGGTTGCCAGGCATGTCGCAGCTTGGGGGGCGGGGAGGGGAACCTAGCTGTATGCTCGATAGTGTGTCCATGTTCCAGCTGCCTACCCCTTCCCCAACCCCACCCACCTGTCCTGCCTCTGTCCCCTGGGCCAATGGACCCAGCTGGCCAGGAGGGACCACACGGGGAGGAATTGCCCAATGGTGACCCAGCCTCTGCCCTTCCCTCATCGCCTAAGCTCAGGCTGCCTGAGGTTGACACCGGGGACAGGTGACAGGGCTCAGGGACCCCAGGCAGGTGACAGAGACCCCAGGGTGTGCAAGTCCAGCCTAACAACCATCCCTCGTCTCCAAAGAACACAAATGAGAGGAAACGGGCCTCGACTGCAGCCGGAGAGATTTTAATTAGCGAGAACGAGCTCTCTCAGCAGTGATTAGGGCTGATGGATGGGCTGGCAAGGCGCTGCCTGGGGGAGAAGGACGCTCCCTCCCGCCGCCCCCTCGCTGTCCCCTCCAGTGGCCAGGCCATCCATCTTCCTGGCCATCGGGCCTGGGCTGGGTCACCCAGCTCTGGGGGTCAGATGTCCTGGGGGCGCGGGGTTTGGGGAAATCCTGAGACTGATTATGAATGAGCCCAATTAACTCCGGCTGCTGGAGTGTGAAGGGAACGGAGCCACGTCAACCCAGCTCCCCAATCCTGCTGCAGAGCAGACGCAGCCGATTAATCTGTCGAAGAAGCAGATTCCAGGGCCCTCCCTAGAGGTGAGGCCCGCCGCCCGCTGGGGAACTACGGACCTCATCTCCTTCCTTCCTTCCCACTCTGATTGAGATCGGCCCTGGAGCACAGATCAATAAGACAGGTCTCTGCCTCCCCCCCCCCCCCCCCCCCACTCCTGCGGGGGCCAACTTTCCTTTTTCTCTCAGAGACCAGAGGAGTGAGGGCTGCACGCCCCCGCACAGGTGATCCCCACCCGCAGAATGTTGGGCACAAGCCTCCCTCTCCCTTCCAGCACTGATGAGCCCTGTCTGGG